AGCATCTGAGACCTGATTCTATGGGCATCTGAGACAAGATTCTATGGGCATCTGAGACATGATTCTATGGGCATCTGAGACATGATTCTCTGGGCATCTGAGACATGATTCTATGGGCATCTGAGACAGGATTCTATGGGTATCTGAGACATGATTTTTTTTGTATCTGAGACATGATTCTATGGGCATCTGAGACATGATTCTATAGGCATCTGAGACATGATTCTATGGGCATCTGAGTCATGATTCTATAGGCATCTTGGGGATGATTCTATGGGTATCCGAGACATGATTCTATGGGTATCTGCGACATGATTCTATAGGCATCTGAGACATGATTCTATGGGCATCTGAGACATGATTCTATGGGTATCTCAGACATGATTCTATGGGCATCTGAGATATGATTCTATGGGCATCTGAGACATGATTCTATGGGCATCTGAGACATGAATATATAGGCATCTGAGACATTATTCTATGGGCATCTGAGATATGATTCTATGGGCATCTGAGACAGGATTCTATGGGTATCTGAGACAGGATTCTATGGGTATCTGAGACATGATTTTATTTGTATCTGAGACCTGATTCTATGGGCATCTGAGACATGATTCTCTGGGCATCTGAGACATGATTCTATGGGCATCTGAGACAGGATTCTATAGGCATCTGAGACATTATTCCATCTGAGACATGATTCTATGGGTATCTGAGACATGATTCTATGGGTATCTGAGACGTGATTCTATGGGCATCTGAGGCATGATTCTATGGGTATCTGAGACGTGATTCTATGGGCATCTGAGGCATGATTCTATGGGCATTCGATTTTTCCACCTACTCTTTATTACTCATATAGCAGTTTGGAGAAGTACTGTTAATGATGAATAGCAACAAATCTATTTTTAAATTGCAGCCAAAGTTGTTCAAGTGGTGTTTGGACACTGGGATGTGGTAACCTGTCTAGCAAGGTCTGAAACCCCTGTAGGTAGTGATTTCTATGTTGTATCTGGTTCCCGTGATGCTACCTTATTAGTCTGGTACTGGAGCAGTAAACTACAGTGTATTGTTGGTGATAACACCATGTCTGGTGAGTATACATTGTGTAAATCCTGTAGTACACTTCAATCTCATTTGTGCAGAATATTGTAAAACCATTAAGTGTGTCAATTTTTGCAAGCAAGCAAAATTCTCAAAATTAAAAACTATTTGTTCTAGGTTACAATTACAGTGTGCAATAAATAATTGATTAAACTTTTAATGCTATAGTTTTCCTGCCAGAATTGTACACATGTTTATTAATTATCAACCCACTGGTCATACATCTATCTGCTGTTATCGCCATTCTCCAAATAAACCTGCCTATTTTGGGCCATATTGTTTTACTAAATTTTTTAAGCAATAGGAAATTTTGTCAATTTGTCTAAAATAAATGAAGAAATTTTATAAAAATACCTAAAAATATTGCACCAGATTTATGGTAATCAAAAGTGAAGATAATGTATCTTCCATTGAATGTAAATCCTAAAAAATTGCTTTTATTTAATCTTGGAAATGCATCCAGTGAGTAGAATTGCTTATAATACATGAGTTTTTTTCTTAGGTGAAATGGCAACACCTCGTGCAATATTAACAGGACATGATACTGAAATAGTGTGTGTAGCTGTGTGTGCTGAACTTGGTTTAGTTGTCAGTGGATCTCAAGGTATGCATCGGTATATGGCATTTATCACATGTGTTACTAATAGAGCAAATATGGTATTACTGAAAATAAATATACTTGTCTATTGAGTGTAATTAGACTATAAGAAAATAGGTATTTTGTGAGGTGGCTGAATTGTTCAAAGAAAAATGACAATTATATTTTTTGATAGCAAGTCAGGGATAACATGATTGTGGAATTGAATGATAACAATGGAGGTATAGAGTCTCATCCAGGATGTATGATTGCGTAATTCTCTCATTATTATTGGTGTGTGCAGGTTTTTTGCACATTATTTACCTGGTTAATAAATCTCATAGTATTTGCAGGTATATTCAATTTGTGGTCTAGTTTACCAATAAATTAACATTTCATATAAGTCATGTATTTTTAAATCTGATTCTAAATCCAGAACAGTATTTTATTTGTCCATTGCTCACAAACTAATCTACTGTAATTGCATTGTATTTCCACAGGTGGTCCATGTCTTGTACACACTGTACATGGGGATCTGCTGAGAACTCTAGAGTCTCCTACTCACTGTAAATCACCTAAAATAGTAGCTGTATCAACAGATGGTCCTATATTAATAGTTTACAATAAAGGACATGTCTGCTCTTTCTCTATTAATGGAAAATTTATCAAAGATATGCAAATTAATGACAATTTACAGGTATGTTCATTAATATAGATGTGGGCACTTTAGAATTACTTGGATTGTGTTCATACATTTCCATATATACGATGTATTGCTATGAAGGTCTATTTTGAAATTGCTGGTGATTTAATGCAATGCTAATAACCCTAGTATCATTATTATTCTAAAAGCAAAAAATGAAAGACATATATGCTTCTTGACCTTGTATGAGTCAGTTTTGTTGACTCCCGTGTGCGAAGCACAAAAGGGAGTCTTTGCAGTTACCCTGTCTGTATGTCTGTATGTATGTATGTATGTATGTATGTATGTATGTATGTATGTATGTATGTATGTCACTTTTTTTGTTCCACCGTTATCTCAAGAACCACTAATCAAATTTTGGTGAAACTTGGTAAATAGATACTCTGGGATAATGCGCAGAGTTGATTAGGTTTTGGTAAAAATTTATGAATATTAATTACTTAATTTTCATGATAATTAGCTGATTTTTAGCTGTTTCAAGACTGTTCCACTGATATCTGAAGAACCATTAATTGGATTTTGATGAAATTTGGCACATGGATGCTCTGAACTAGTGCGCAGATTTGATTAGTTTTGGGTAAAAATCTATGAATATTAATTACCTAATTTGCATGATAATTAACTGATTTTAAGCTGTTCTATGACTGTTCCACTGACTTTTGAAGAACCACTCATTGGATTTCAATGAAACTTGGCACATGGATGCTCTGAACTAATGCGCAGATTTGTTTAGTTTTGGGTAAAAATCTGTTAATATTATTAATTACCTAATTTACATAATGATTAATCAATTTTCGGTACTACTAATCATAACATTTCAATAAAACTTGGTACATAGGTGTCATATGACACTGCACAGACCTGATAGTTTTTAGGGTAATATCAGTACATATTAATTACCTAATTTGCATAATTAATTAATTTTCAGCTTTTGATATTTCGAGTAGTAATGATCACGTTTCAATGAAACTTGGTACATAGTTACTTGAGGACTGTGCAGAGACCTAATTAGTTTTTGGGTAAAATATTTGTGCATATTAATCACCTTATTAGCATAATTAGTTAATTTCAGCTATTCACCTGATA